CTCCAGACCGCCTGCACAAAGCAAAGTTTACAGCCTCAGCTGTGGCTCCCGTCCCTTGGAGATGGTAGAGAGCATGCGCGACATGATTAACTTCAAAGCAGCAAAACATGCGGAAATTATCCAGGGTTTCCGCGGATCATTAAAAATAATTACAATCCATTATTTTTTGGGTTTTTTTTTTTCATTAATTTCATAAATTAATATGGGATTTCTGTGTAACAATCAACATATATCGAACCAAACCGAAAACCGTGACCATGATACTGTGAATCAAACCGAACCGTGGATTTTGTGAACCGTTCCACCCCTTATATATATATATATCTCAATCTATGTGTGTGTGTATATAGAAATACATACGTGCATATATATATGTATACACACACATATTGTCGTTCGATGCTGTACGGGACTAGGGCTGGGTACCGAACTTCGGTTCTTTTATGGTACCGACCGAAATGCTTCGGTTCTACCGAGTATCGAAACATGCCTCGTCTTTCGGTACCAAGTTTCGGTGATTGGCTGTAACACTTAACGTGATTGCGTCATCTAGGAAAAATACACAGGTAGTCACGCCTACAGCCAGGGTTCATGTGTATCTGTTGTGAACTGGTTGCGAGCGTCGTGGAACCCCTTTAAAATGCCCCCCAGGTCAAAGGTGTGGCTTCACTTTATTAAGACTGATGCTAATAGTGCGCAATGCAATACATCGAGCACGGAAACAATTTAAGAGCAGAAAGTTGCTCGGTGTTTGACTGCAAGAAGAGCGGACCGCAGCCAGCGCGACCATCCTCCTCTCAGCAGCCCGTGGGCAGAGCAAAGACAGAGCGGAGTGAATAATGCTGCTTTCAAACTGGACGCAACAGGAGCAGCAAAATCGCGTCTGCTGCTTACTTTTTTGCTGCTTGTACCAGCTTCTGACGCGCGGCTGAACAAGCTTTGCTGCTCTGGCTGCGCGGTCGAAAAGTGGCTCTGACACGCGTTGGGCGGAGCTACTCTATCTTTTCTCTGCCTTGCAGCTATATTTGCTGTGATCAGTGGGAATAAAGTAGTTTTATTATGTTTTTAAGTGGGAAAATCCACCTGAAAACTTAATCAGTGCAGTCAGTTCATCCATATCAGCCTTCCAATATTATTTCTGTCGGAGCCGCTCAGACCCCCACATACCAGCGGTGCGCTGTCAGTAGGATCCCATTCAACGGGCTTGGTTGTCAGACATGGTAATTTTTCTAAAGGAAAACTGCAAAGTAAAAAGGTTCCTTACAATGTAACAGTGAATATTAGACACTGAATTTTTTTTTTTATGTAAGAGGAAAAATGTAAATGGAAAAATCAGAGCTTAAAATAAAACTCAAGATTTGTACTTTTTTATGTTGTCTAATTTTCTTTTTCTTCAAATTGATATTATAAAACTGGTATCGAAAAAAGTATCGTTCAGGAACCGGTATCGAAGTGAAGGTGTCGGTATTGGTACCGGAACCGAAAATTTTTGAACAATACCCAGCCCTATACGGGAGACATTATTTACATTTCGACTGGTTAACTAGGGAGTACCAATATGGCTGCCAGTGGCTTCACTTCAACCCTGTCCTACCAATGGGTCAGTCCAGTGAACCTGTCCTTAGCAATGTTAGCCCTGGCTGCGTATAGCCTCGGAGGGCCGCTACTTGTCGCGGTGCTCTCAATTTGAATTTTTTTATCATGCATCAAATCAGTGAATGTTCCATATAGTGAAGCTTAAACTTTAATGCTCTCGCCTCAAATTATCTTAAAATGTACTTTCATAGAACAACAGAAAAGAGAACTTTAAACTTAATACTCTGAGCTCTGTGAGCGCTAACCTGGAAGCTGCTGCTGCAGTGCATGTTGGGACAGCTGTCAATCTGGAGAACGGACAAGTCTGCACTGATGCATGCTGGGTAAAGAGGGAGGGGCCAGAACAGCATCCGGGGACTTTGTCTTTTCTGGGTCTTCTTGTCCAGGTGAATTATTACAGCACACAAGGATGCACAAGTACACATTGAGAAACAGCCTCAGAGTCTGTATATTCCATCTAGCCATTAATGAATTACTAAATTAATGATTTTAATAATCAGTTAATCCTGATTAATCTTGTTTCAGCCATGGATGCTCTGTGTGTTGTGCTTGAATGAGAAAAGAGTTTTTTCTTTTTTTTTTTTGTAGGGCGTGCCGGAGTCAGGTTTGCCCACACTGACATCAGAGTACCAGACTTCTCCGACTACAGGCGTCCAGAGGTCCTTGACCCTCACAAGTCCTCCCAAGAGAGCAGCGAATCCAGGAGAGCCTTCTCTTACCTGGTAACCGGAGTTACGGCTGTAGTTGGTGTTTATTCTGCCAAGACTGTGGTGACTCAGTTTATTTCCTCCATGAGTGCCTCAGCTGACGTCTTGGCCATGTCCAAGATCGAGATCAAGCTTGGTGACATCCCCGAAGGGAAGAACATGACCTTCAAGTGGCGCGGCAAACCGCTGTTCGTACGTCATCGCACTGAGAAGGAGATCGAAGCTGAAGCCGCCGTTAGCCTTTCAGAGCTTCGAGACCCTCAGCATGACAAAGACCGAGTCCTCAACCCCAAATGGGTGATTGTTCTTGGTGTGTGCACACATCTGGGCTGCGTACCAATAGCCAATGCTGGAGAGTATGGAGGTTACTACTGCCCCTGTCACGGCTCGCACTATGACGCCTCTGGTCGCATCAGGAAAGGCCCCGCCCCGCTCAACCTGGAGGTCCCATACTACGAGTTTCCAGATGAGGAAACTGTAATTGTGGGATAAACCACAATCACAGACAAATGGCTCAATTCTCTAGACTTCAGTCCTCAGTAGCAACAAAGTTCATCATATCCTCCCTCTGTGGAAATGGGAGCCAAAGTTGCTTTGATGTCTTGACTTTTAAATTCAGTCTAACCAATAAAGTTATTTAAATGAATACCTGGAAGATAAACCATTTCTGTTTATTCCAATCAGATGAAAGTCATGTAAATGTTGGTTAATACCATTTTGTGTTCTAGTCCTTCTGCTGTTGTGTTACTAATAAAAATCTATTTTATTTGACCCTGTGAGTCTGTTTGGAGCCATTTTTACAGAAAGGGCAACATTTGGTGCAGCATGTTTATGGAAAACATAAAAAGTTTCAGAAGTGATGATCGAAATCACATCTGTTTCATGTTGCTGTAGGACTGAATTAAATGTGCAGTCTGATGACGACATTTAAAACTTAGTTGTTTTACTTTCTTTTCATCAATCAGTGCAGCCTGTTTTTCTTGGTTTTTAATCGCAGTTTGGACATTTCTGAAATGTAAACTTCTTGCCATGACTTAAAAATAGCTTATATTTAATATGAATATCAGCTTTCTGTGAAGAGAAGAACATTTCTTGATAATCAGCACCAGTGGATTCATGAGGTTTCATGAAGCATTTTGATATATTTGCATATGACACCTGCTTGACATTTAGAATCACTGCAGGCAGTGATAAATTGACACTGATTTGATGACTGATATGATAAAAGCCATTTTTTGCTTAATGTATTCATATCTATTTAAAATGTTCATTTTTAGATCCACTAGTCCATGCATTTGTTAATTCAAGGCTGGCCTGTTGTAATTCTTATCAGGAAGTCCACAAAATGGAGCCTAGGAGTAGGTTCAACTGAAGAAACTCATTGCTTTCCTACATCCACCTGTGACACAGCTGATCAGCTTTGAACCATACCTCCACGAAAGCCAATCGGCATCCAAAGTTCATCTTAAAAGGTCTCTGATCCACTTGTGTGCTCCTGTGCGCAGGCGTTGGATGCCCTATGACTTCATTCAGATGACACGACGGTTTCAACCCCCCTCCAGCCCCTCCAATCTCCACCACCAGTTTCAGGAGTGAGGGGGAAACAGACATGTTCTTCGCCCCTGTTGATGCATAACTATCAAAATTAAGTGCTTTGTTTCCTGCTGAGGTCTGAGCGCCAAAAACCAAGTTATTATATCTATACATTTTTCCTAATAGTCTTTTCTCTTTTTTCAGATTGAACTGTAGTTAAAAGCCTTCAGCTGATCCAAAATGCTGCAGCCAGAGTTCTGATGAAAGTGAAAAAGAGAGATCACATCTCTCTTATCCTGGCTTCTCTTCATTGGCTTCCTGTTAAATCCAGAATAGAATTTAAAATCCTCCTTCTCACATATAAAGCCTTAAATGGCCAAGCTCCATCTGATATCAGAGATCTGATTGTTCCTAACAGAGCACTTCGCTCTCAATCTGTAGGTTTACTAGTGGTTCCTAGAATTTCTAAAAGAATGGGAGGCAGATCTTTTAGTTATCAGGCTCCTCTCCTGTGGAACCAACTACCAGTTTTAGTCCGTGAGGCAGACACCCTGTCTACTGTTAAGGCTAGGCTTAAAACTTTCCTTTTTGATAAAGCTTCTAGTTAGAGTGGCTCAGGTTATCCTGAGCTATCTCTGTAGTTATGCTACTATAGGCTTAGACTGCTGGAGGACATAGGGACCCCTTTTTCATCATTCTGCTTCATTCTCTATTCTCCCACTCTGCAGAATCCATTTATTATTCCTTACTGAACGGACTTTTCCTTTAAATCCTTAACTGTATTTAAGTTACTTTAAATCTCCTTTATTTTCTACTGTCTAATATATATCTGGATACATTGTATATAATTTGTTAACACTTTTTCCCCTGTTTACCTTCTGTTGTTTATAGGAGCTGATGTCACAAGTGAATTGTTCTCCATTACGAGATCAATAAAGTTCGATGCAATCTAATTTATAATATCTGTTGTTGTTTTTTGACACCTTCTTATAAAAAGGCAGCCTTAGCTTTTATGTCGTTTATACATTTTTCTTTTGTTTCCTTAAAGTTTCTAATGCTATAATGATCAGAATTATGTTAGAGCTCTAAAACCTTGAACTCTTACAGGCTGCAATAGGCATGTGTGCCAGTAGGGTGCGGTAGAGAGACCAAGGAATGAGACCGGAAGTCTGCTGCCTCTTTGTTGTGTTTCTCCTCGGTTAAATATCCGTGATGGAGCAGAACCATTCCAGCATGTATTCAGTAAAGCATCTGAGAGAGTTCATCAGCGAGCGGCTAACTGCTGCTACGGAGGAAATCTTTGGGGTGTTTGAGAGAACCATCGAGCAGCAGATGGACCATCAGCGCAGACTGCTGGATAGCAGCTTCCAGGAAACAGGTCAGGAGGTCCGCAGAGATGCTTCAGGCTGGAGGACACTGGCCGGTGTGACAGATTAACTGGTGACTAGATTAACTGGTTAGAATCTATGCGCACCGCAGATGTTACTGAAGCTTAGGTGGCTGTTCGCCAAAACATCAACTGACATATCTAATGAATGGATTTCTGTTTTGATTTTCAGATTAGAATGATGTGGCAAAGAACTTGTATCCACAAATATTTTAGCCATCTGATATAATCAATTCCCCCACAAGATGGGAAAAAAAAAAAAAAAATCCTGTGAATTTTGTTTACAGGCTAATCAATATATTAATCATGCCTTGGACGTTGAACAAAAGGTGCTAATTTTTAAGACATGCCACAAAACCATTGCTGCAAAATGTAGCAGTACAAATTAATTGTAAAAAGTCATCAGCTGCAAAATGAAGACTGTTGTTAACTCCACATGTCTCCCCGTGCACTAATTAAAACGTTCAATAAATCAGCTGAGAAGGTGCTTGGCTCCATCCTATACCAGAGAAAAGGGAAGAGATGGAATCACAGATGCTATATATTAGGTTATTTAAATGTTTTTAGGTCTTCTAACACCTGTGATGTAATGCGGGCTGTTCAGAGGTTCTGCAGGCGTTTTTTAAACTTGCCAATGTTCTCAATTTTAAAACTTTGTGCTTCTTTGAAATTCCCAGCAGGTAAAGATCAATGCTCATAGTTTGGAGATTGGCTGCAGGGCCTTCAAAGGTATCCAGGCAGAAGACCCCCAGTGTTCTATCAAACTAGTCCTATAGTCCCTCTATTACAGATGGAGTAATGTAATTAAAGTAATCCCTTCCTGGGATTATTAAAGTATTTTTGATTCCTGGTTGATGGGACAGGTGTTGTGAATGAAACAGTGCCCAGATTGAATGAGCTCCTGTGTGTCGCTGAATGTGTCCATTGATGACTGAAAGACATCTTCTGCCTCCATTTATCTGTTTACTAGTCTGTTGAATTCATGTTAATGTGGATTTAAAGAGGTTTCAATTAGTGGGAGAAATTGCAGCAGGGAATATAAAAAAAAAGTGATCAACCAAAACTTTTTGTTAACCCCCCCCCCCATGCAGTACCTCTGTGGACCCCCTGTTGAAGACCTTCACTGTAGGATATCTGTTTAAAAGGATTATCAAATGCAGTAGTTTCCAGTTTCAGCTGGACTGTTTAACTGGTTACCTTGGCAACACATCACAACTAAAGATGTGGGATTTCCCTAAAAGTAGCCAATTACAGACGTGGTGCTTTTGGTTTGGGCAACGCCTTTAAAGCAACCAAAGTTGACGGGATTGAGATGCAAGGAAATGAAAGCTCCCTGTTCCTTGGTTTTGGGCCCATAGAAACCAAACCTGCTTCCCTCAGACCAAAGGAACAGGCATTTGTCTTTGTGACACATCAGGATCCTGTGATGCTCTATTGCCCATCAAACAGATTAAACATGCTGCTAATGAGCATCTATATGAAGTAAAGGAGTGGTTATTGTGTGTAGGGCTTTTTGGCAGAATTTTTTTTTTCTTTGGGCAGTGGTCAGGGCAGGGGTCGGCAACCCGCAGCTCCAGAGCCGCATACGGCTCTATACCCCCCCCCCCCCCCCCCCCCCCCCCCCCTCCCTTGCGGCTCCCTGTAGCTTTTTCAAAACTTTAAGAAAATTTGTTTGTTTTGCTTTGCAGGAGTTCAAACATACATTCATTATGTTTTCCAATGCTGTAAACATTTGTATAATAAATTATTTTAATCAATATATGTAAACATTTATTTCAAAGATTATAATGTGTCTTAGCCATAGAGATCAGTGGTCAAAGCGTGCAACACATGTGTCACATGGCAAAGAAAGCGGCGGGTGTGTCTAGGGCCATGGATCCCAAAGGGGAAAAAGGAGAATCAGACCTGATGAGAACAGGAGATTCAAAGAAGAATGGAGCAAATCATTTGCTTTCATTATCAATGCACAAGGATAGCCTTTAGTTTTGCTTTGGCACGAGAATTTGTCAAATAATAAAAATAGTAATTTGGAAAGGCATTTCCAGGAAAGGCTAAATATGCAGCTGAACTTCTGGATAAATTAGAGGATAACAAAGATTTAATAAATGGATTGCATCTCCAATACTGCTGCTAGATTTGTTTCAAGCATGAACAAACCTTGGATCAACCTACCTGATTGATCCATGATCCATGGATCATGGATCAATCAGGTAGCGCTCTGATGCAGGTATGTGAATTTTTTCAATTTTTAAAATAAAAATAACACCAAGGAACGCTGGTGATGGAGGATGTGGAATATCGGGGTTAGAGATGCTCTGCTCTGATGGAGGTCAGTTCCTGCTTGGTTCCTCATGACTGAATCAGCTCCTCCAAAAGAAACACGTCCACCATAGAAAGAGATTCCTTTATCCTGTTTCTATCATTTCATCAATGCAACAAAACTTAAACTGAAAGGCGGTGAAGCGTCGAGCGGTGAATTCCATGCAGAGAGGACGTTCACTGCTCCTCCCTCACCTCTTGCTACTATGTGAGATTTGCTCCAGGATTAACATTTAATCATGAATGTTTATTATATATTTAAGGCAGCATAGTCCTTTTTTATAGAGGGCTAAGACACTTAGAGCTCATGTTGCTATACGAGGCTTATATAAGGCTTTTACATTTTTGCAGCTCCAGACAGATTTGTTTTTTTGCTCCAAAATGGCTCTTTGAGCAGTTTGGGTTGCCGACCGCCGGGTGAGGGCAAAGGCTTGGGATCCTGAGGTTCTGAGTTCGGACCCACAGACTGCCACTCTGGGTCTCTGAGCAAACTGCTCCCAGGGCACCGGACAATGGCAGCCCACCGCTCCCCAAAGGGATGGGTTAAAAGCAGAGCATGAATTTCGTTTCTTTGTGACACTTTAATGACAGTAAAGTTGAATTCTATTGTATTTTGTTCTATTCTTATTCTGACTGGTACCTTAAGCCGGGCATACACTGTATGATTTTTTTGTGTGCGTTATTTGTGCCGGTTTTCAAGTTGTGCAAGAATTTTTTCAATCGTAATCATTTAAGTCTTGAGGAAAAGACAGTCTAAATCAACTCTTTGGTCTTTGAAATAAACTACCAACAAGTGCATTTTCGGTTTTCAGCCACCAGACTTGTAAAGCCGGGCATACACTGTACGATTTTTGCCCTTTTCAGGCAGACTCTCCAGTCATGCAAGAATTTTTTGATTCAGCCGACTTTCAGTCTCATCGTGCATCCCATAGTGCACAGAGGGTAACGAGGGGCTATTAGCCTCTCATGACCACCTCCTGATCACCAATCTTAAGGTGGAGAGAAAATCAAACATGTTTGAAATTCAGTCGGCTGTCGTAAGGTGGTTCTGGATAAATCCTGCTGTTAAGGCAGAGCTACGAGCTGATTTATCAGAACCTCCAACACTGAGCATGCCTAAACAATTAAGTTGTTCTTCTTCTTCCAGATAGACGAGTCTGACCAGCGCCATCAGTCCGACATGTTGTTTTTAGACGTACAATGTGAGCAGGTAGATGACATCAGTGGGTCGGGTTGCACAGTGTGAGAACATACATTGTGAGCTGGAAGCTTAAATCCTGTGGTGTCGTTGCACAGTTTGAGCTGTAGCTCCGTGCAGCATTTTAACATTTCGCAGTGCTTTAGAGGCATGAGATTATTTCTTCCTCTGTTGGCTCTAGGCGAGCAATGGCTCTGTGTAACTGCTGTACATTAAACCCTGCAGCAGCTTTTTAAATGACATGTTTTCCACAGTGGGGTCCTCCTCTGTGCACTAAAGGCTCTCCTGTGTATTTTCAGATGTTCAGCAGTGTTTTCTCACAAAGATGGAGTCCCTCGGGGACCAGCAGATCAGCAAGCAGATGGAGAACTTCAGTGAAGACCAACTGGAAGTGGTACCTCCAGAGATTAAAGAGGAGCAGGAGGAGCTGTGGGCCGATCAGGGAGATGCTCAAATGGTACTGAAGCAGGAAGCTGATGTCCAAATGGTGACACCGATGTTTGAGGAAGGAGATCAGAGTGAGTCTAAGTCACACGGAGATCAGTTCCACCCTAAGAGACCAGATCAGGAGGTCAGCTGGCCTGAAGACTTTGAAGCAGCCAGAAACACGGAGCAGAAGGAGAGATGGAGCGGAAAGCAGATGGACAGCTGTCTCCTCGCAAAGGGTGATGGAAGCAGCTCCCTGCAGAGTGGTGGAAAAACGACCAAGACCTCAGGAACGACTCTCTACACAATCCACACAGGTCAGACCCTTTGGAACCAAACGTGTCTCTAATGTGAAACCTGTGGGAAATGTTTAATGCAGGGCTGCCACTGATCCTTAACAAGTCTTAAAGGGCGTTGAATTCTTCAATATAAAACTAAGGCCTTCATTTGTATTAAAATGTCTTAAATCAGTCTTTCACAGGTGTTAAAATTGTTACCACATCATAAATACGATTTTATTTTTGTAATCCATTTAAAACATTGAAATAAATGACAATATTTTTTTTTACATTTACAAAACGGCTCGCTGGAACCATTATTGGTTCCATCCTGATAAAACGAGGCTGCATGGACCGGGGGGTGATGCGCCGCTAACGTTTTACTTGGACGACAAAGTTTAAATTGAATAAAAACTGTCTATCCAGCCAAGAGTTTTCTGCATGGTTAAAATTAGGACCAGGGAATGAAGCATTATGGGAATCAAGGCTGATAATGTTTTGCGGTTGGCCCACAATGAAAGCAGTGCTATTAAAGGGGAACGCCATTTTTTTTTTACAGAGGAAGACGTTACTTGGATTACAAAACCGGATATCTTTGGAACGGCTCCAAATGACACAAAACTCATTTGGGTGAGCAGAACATGATGGAATAACGGAAAATCAAGGACCCAATGTAAAAAACAAAAAAAAAACGGCGTTCCCCGTTTAAGGTCTTTGAGTAGGGAACACAACATTGTTTAATTCAGTTCAGTAGTTGTCAAAAATGAATGTGTTATTTGTGTGTTTTTTTTAGTTTTCTACCTCTATGGAAAGTTTTTCACAAAATGAAACATTTCCACTGGGCCAGAAAAATAAGGGTTTATGTTAAAATAAACATTTAGGTAAATTTGTAGCAACAATACATGCGCTTCTTTTCCCTTCTCACCAGTGAGGTGTTGTTTCCAGGTGGTGAGGTTGTCCTTTATGTGCACCCAGAGGAATTTAGTGCTACTGACCACCTCTACAGCTCAGCTGTTGAGCTCCACAAATCTGTATTCAAATCTACAAAAGTGAACTGAGATTTCCAAATCTGTATTCAGATTTACAAATCTGTAGTATGATTTGCAAACATGTAGATCAATCAGTAAGCACACAGAGACACTTATGGCTGAAGTATTTTCAGTTCAAGGCCCAGAAATACAGACCACTCATTGGTTACAAGTCCAGCGGTTTCTCGGTTGGCTCTCTTTACACACGTGATTTTTGCTGCACTTCTGCCGTGTGAGATACACAAATACGTAAAGGATTTGTATCTGTAATATCTGGATTTGCTGCCCTGAGCGCAGGCTCACAGGCTGCCTCTTCCTGCTTTGGAAGTTAGGCACAACTTGCTGCACCTACACCCACATACCATCAGGTGGCGTTGTTGTACTGTACGTGACATTACTGCAGCAGGGTCGAGTTCAATTCACCAGCAGCTAAGCAGCAGAGACTGTCACCATAGTGACTGTGTAGTCAGTGTTGCCAACTCCTCAGTAAGGAAAGTAGCTATTGGCTGTGCTATAAATTGCTGAATGATGTCATTGCTAAATTTGCATAATCTGACTCATGATGTGCATGTTATTGGCGCTGTGGGAGAAATAACATTGTTAGAGATACAAAGTCAGTAAAAACACTGAATATATAGAGCTACCTTTTCTGTCCATTTATTTTTATTTTTTATTTTATTTATTTATTTTTAAATAAATTTTATTACAAAACTAACTCTCCGCCTTTACCCGGGCTTGGGACCGGCAAAATGAACCATGGCAGAGTTACAATTTATTTTATTTTTTTACTTTTTTCCGCCTTGTGTTCCACTAGGGAGCCAACTACTCATGGTAGAACATGAACATTTTGAGCCATAACATTTTTTACATGACATTAACAATATAAATGGAACAAAAAAAAATCAACAAAGAATCAATGACAATGTGAGCAAATAATGGTAATTATTATATTTAAACTAATAAGATTTTTCTCCACACACACAGACTGTGCTTGCCTGCTCACAGTGGATCATCATGTTGGTCAAGCTTCTCTATGGCAGCTTCAGCAACTGAGGGATCTGACTCCAATGTGATCAACCTGCGCCGTCAATCCCAGCGCATATGCACAGTTCATTTGCAGTCTGGAAGCTGAGGGTAAACATGCTGTTGCTCTGACTGCAGCGATGAGAGGGACTCCTGTGGAAGCAGGAGGACGGGGTTGTGATATGGCAAGCCAAGCAATGCCACTATTCGCATCTAATTATCACGTTAAGATGAAATTCACCCGCTAAAAGTACCCGTTTTTCCGAAATTTCTGTGCTTTTTTCACCGTCTTTTACCAACAAGCGCCACTTTTTACGTCTGTCATAATGGTACCGCAAGACTCGAAATTTCTAGACTCTACAACGCGGGTTAAATATGAGCATTTTCCTAATATAATATTTTCCCTCCTTCTTTTCTGACAGCCAATGCATTTGAACTGGTTGCATCCAATCGCTGCCAAAGTTCACTGCATTGTTCTTTCACGAAGCCTTATTTTTAGGAATATATCCACTCCATGCTCTTTGCTGCCATCTTGAATCCATTTCCATGCCTATCATCGACGTGTCGCTAACTAATGTTTTGTGGTTTAAAGGTATTGACTGGAACAGTTCACTAGTGTTTTCAACTGAGAAGTGGTGCAGTGGTTGAAGTGGCAGAATACAAAGCAAACTTTTTTCTTCAATACAGGTTCAAATCCGGCTGAGGCAGTTTGACTTTTCCCTTTATATTCTCTCTTGTCTCTAACCAAGCCCGTTTTGTAGTTTTTGCTTTTTTTAAAGAATATAATCCATAAATGTAGGCTACTTCTCTGTTGTTTCTGATCCATCGGCAAGCATTCTTTCATGTAAAAAGTTTTACATTGTGCTAATAGAGATGTGAGTAACCAACGTTAGGATTTCTTTTCTAAAACTAAATATTCTGAGTCAGACAGGATTTCTGAAAACTGCTGTTAAAATGAACAAAGACTGTAAACTATCAACATTTCTGATTCCCTTTTATCAATATTTATTTGGTTTTCATTTTTGAAGGCAGCTCAGGTATAAATAACAGCTGCAATTTCTTTTGTAGAACATAACAACACAAGAAGGATGCTAAAGATTTGCTATTTGTTGTTTTCTACATAAAAATATTTCTATTTAATTGACTTCTACTTTTTGAAATAGGATAAAGACAAACAGAGGAACTCTATTTACACTGATTCTATTTTTCTAGATTTCCACACGGTCAGAAGTAAATTAGTACAAACATTAATGTCTGGTAAATAATGCTGGAATCTGGCTGTTTATTTTGGATACTTTTACATTACAGATAAGATAGTGTTATATTTTTTTTTCAAAAGAAAACACAGGATAAATCCACATATAACAGACATATTTAGACTATATTTGGTTAAATAGGCACATATTTACCTACTGTCTTAGTCGCTGGTTAGTTTAAATGCAAACCTTTTCAAAGCGGAAAAAAGGTCCTAACTCCACATTGGTCAGAGCCAGTGATGCTTTAAACATTGATAAACTGCATCTGGTGTGTATAGTGCTTATAAGATTTGTATAAATGTAGCAAGAAATGCTGCTGTTCTCTTAAAAAAAGATGTCCTAATGCTCACATTAAGCATAAAAAAGAGCATGCATATTTTTGCAAAGGATCAATGAAGCTGAAGACCAATAGTGTCCCTACCAAAGCTACGACCTTGAGTACACATAATTGAGACATACCTTACCTATATATAATATCTCAGAGAGGACCTAGTTGCTGCTCTGCCAGGAGCCTACTCGTTGTATGGCGCCATGTGCCGACTGAAAGAACTGTAGACTGAAAGAACATTCATGTGATGTGGTTAAAAAATTTATCATTCCTCAAAACTACAAAAAGACAGCAACATGGTGAAAAAAAATAAAAATCCTATATATTTAGGAGAGAGAGAACATGATCTATGGGGTAAGTGTTTTATCATTGCACTACTGACACTTTTAATCAGAAATGTTCCTGTTACATTTAATTGTAACAGCAGTTGCTCCATGGCTGTAGAAAGCATTATGAGCTTGGGAAAAGGTTAGTGATATGCAGGAAATATACAGAGAACAAGTCAGAAAGACACATTTTCTGGAAGGACAATGCAGTGAACTTTGGCAACAATGCCACACAGAGCTCTGTGCAGAACTTTCCACAAAGCAGATCTGGGCTGAACTATCTGGGTCTGGCTGCCTGGATCAGCGATTGGATGCAACCAGTTCAAATGCATTGGCTGTCAGAAAAGAAGGAAGGATATTATTATCATATCAGGAAAACGCGCATATTTCATACGCATTGTCTTGGTAAGAATGCGCGTCAAGAACGCGCGTCTTGGGGTACCATCAAGACAGACATAAAAAGCGGCGCTTGTTGGTAAAAGACAGCGAAAAAATCTGTGAAATTTCAGAAAAACGGGTGCTTTAAGCAGGCGAATTTCAATCTTAACGTGAGCTGTTGCAGCTCTGAAATATGGCACAGCTGGTGGCTAAAGGCTTCCTGGCAGCTTCTAGCTTCATCCTTCTTTATTCATGGGAAGTTATTTTGCGTCTTCTTTGTTCAACATGCTTGCGCCCCTGTTGACTATTTGCCATGAACCACTTGATTGTGCGATTATCCAGCTTCAAAAGCTTGGTAATTTCCAAACTGCTTCACCGCTTTGAAAGACATCTGACAATTTTTGACTTTTCAGTCTGTCAAATCTCTTTTCTGACCCATTTTGCCAAAGGAAAGGAAGTTGCCTAATAATTAAGCACACCTTATATAGGGTGTTGATGTCATTAGGCCACACCCCTTCTTATTACAGTGATGCACACCACCTGATTTACTGAATTAGTAGTTGGTGTTCAAGCTTATACAGCTTGGAGTAGGACAACATGTATGAAAAGGATGATGTGGTTGAAATTAGGGCTGCAACTAACGATTATTTTAAAAATCGATGAATCGGACGATTATTTTTTCGATTAATCGATGAATCGGACAAAAAATATTTTTTATATTAACCTCTTTATTCCAAAATAAACATTTTAGACAGAACAAACAAGCACACAAGTACAGGTTGCTCATTAACTGTACTGGTGCAATATGAAAAATAAATGTTTGTGTTAAAACTACGCAAACTTACATGAGAAATGTAGCTGTACATCCACAAAATATAGGGTACTTTGTTTCATAAAGCGCAAAAAAAGACATTTTTGTTTTTAAAAGCCTCTAAGGGGTTCAAACAATAGGCCCCCCATTTCAACAAATTAGTTTTTTTTAGACTAGAAGAGTTCTGCCTTTTAAGACAGGAAAGTACAGCAGTTAAAGTTGCTACTTGAGAAAATACTGAACCATAGAGATAAAAATAGCCCTGTGATTCAAATTATAAATTGTATTTGGAATAAAAATGAGAGAACTAGGGGTGCTAAAAAACACATCCTCCAAAGACAGATATTTACATGGGAATGTGGCATATAATTAATTGACATATTACTGATCTTGCTGGATTTTATTCTGCTTTACTTCTATAAATTGCAGGATCATCTTTACTTTATCTTTGCCAGAAGATTTAAACTTTAAAAGTCTTGCCCTCATAATTTGCAAGTTAATTTATTTATAAAGTAAATATAAACGCTGCTTAAGCTAATTCAAATGAAATTAAAAGTAAAATAAGTAGCCAACCTTATCACTGTCTGTAACCTACTAACACGGTAAGGAAAGCATCAGATGAGCTACCTGAGAAACTAACGTTACGTTTCCCCACTTTAAAACCAAACAAACATGGTGGTTCCGTGCCATGTTAATTTCTTTTGAAAAAAGTTGCATGTTATCACTTTTTTCGCTTTACAAAGCGCAGGCTATTTTAATTATTGTGATCAATTTGCGCCGTCAATCCCGGTGCATGCGCGCTTCATTTGCAGTCTGGACGCTGAGGCTCTGACTGAGAGGGACTCCTGCGGGAAAACGCGGTTGGGGTGGGGGAGGCGCCCCACGGCAGAGTAGGAACGATACATGCTTTCACGTAAGAGTCTCCAAAAGCCGCCAGTGACACCGAAAAAAGTCGCCAGATTTGTCGCTAGTCGCTTTTTTGAAAAATAGTCGCTGGAGGGGTCTGAAAAGTCGCGGAGTTGGCAACACTGCACCTGCGGCGCTGACTCGCTCTGCCGTATTTTTTTTTCTTCCTCTTTCAGTCAAGAGGCAGTGATGACGGCGCGGCGGATGATGCAATAATCGCGCGACACAACTAATCGATGATGAAATTCGTTGCCAACGCTTTTAAAAGTCGATTTTTATCGATTTTATCGATTCGTTGTTGCAGCCCTAGTTGAAATAGAGCCTAGAAGTTAAACTGAAGAAACTCTTTGCTTTCCTTCACCCACCTGCAACACAGCCAATCAGCTTTGAACTACACCTCCACGAAAGCCAATCGGAATCCAAAGCTCATCTTAAAAGGCCTCTGATACGCACCTGTCTGCTCCTGTGCGCGGGCGATGGATGCGATGTGACTTCATTCAGATGACATCGTTTCAACCCCCCCTCCAGCCCCTCCACCATCGTAGCTAAAGCTTAATCAGAGCGTCATTCCTCGCAGACCCTTACAGCGTTCCCTGTCTCATCTTAACCGCTCCGGCAGAAGATCGTCTTGTATAGCCTGGTTCTGCCAGAGGTTTCTTCCCAACGGGGAGTTTTTCCTCACCACTGTCGCTTCATGCTTGCTCATCATGGACAGGTTCTCTCACCTGTTATCCAAGCTGGACTTCCATCTTCCAGGTCCCTGAGTGAAGCTCTAGTATCAGCTCATGCAGTCCACTGGATCTCCCCATAAAGCACAGCAGACCGTCTCTCCAACCAGCAGTCTACAGACTGACCAACTACATCTATCTCCACTCCACTAACAGTTTCAGGCCTGGGGGGAAACAGATCTTTTCTTTGCTCCTGTTCATGCATATCTATCAAAATTAAGCTCTATGTTTCCTGCCGAGGTCTGAGCGCCAAAGACAAGTAATTGTTTCAATAAATTCGTCCTAATGGTCTTTTCTCTTTGTGTGAGTTTTTCCAGATTGAAATACTAATTTGCCTAATAATTCTGCACGCCGTGTAAAAAAAGAAAAAAAAATTTAAAGAAAGGGATTTGAATCTGAAAATATAAAATCTAAAACCAAAAAAATGAAAAAGTGTAATTAAAATACTAAAGTGAATTATGAATTTTTTCAAGCTGAGGGAAAGAATTTAGAATAAATTCTTATTATTTAATGTTTACTTTTTAGTTTCTCAGATTATACGGTAAAAATTGGAAATTCAATGTCAACTTATGTTTCTTCAGTTATTCTTTGAGTTTCATCTAAGATGTATAAGTTTACAAACATTTTGACCCCTTTCTGACTCCATAGAATACTTTTCCTGTCAGCTTGGGGCGCAGCTCTGCTATACGTTGGTGTTGCAGAGGAGCTACTGCACATGTACAACTTTTAATGAGAATCAATGGGCAGAGAGGGTGGAAATATGTCACCAATCCCACAAAAAAGGCAATGATGCTTTACTAATCATTAAAGGTCAAATATTGCACATCTAAAAATTATATATGGATATATTTCGAAATATTTTAAATGTTAAATGTAAAATGACAACAGTGTCCAAATTTATGCACATGCCTAATTTTGTTAAAACAATTATTGCACACTTCCTGTAAATGGTATAAACTTCGTTTCATCTCTCAAATATCACTGTGTTTGTCTCCTATATGATATATTTAACTATTTTTTTTTTATTCCTAAGAACCAACGATTTATGAAGGAAAATCATGGAAATTAACAAGGTTGCCCAAACTTTTGCAGACCACTGTAAATGACATTTGAAATGTCATTTCACAGATACTGAACACATTTTTTGCACAAACCTGCTGTAAAGACCTTGGTTTTAGCGGTGACACTTAAAGCTAACTCCAAAGCTAACTTTATGCTAACTGTCTCTGCAGAGATAGACTAACACTAACCTCTCATTCATGCTTAGAATATGTAAAGGAATTTTATCTCTTTATTGAGGGTTGCATGAATTATAGAGTATTTATCATTTTTATCATCCTGATGCTATGCTGCTTCCCACCTGCATACTCTCTCATTTACTTCTTGGCTTTTGTTTTTACCTCCAGATTTCCCCAACCATTTTCTCTGGAAAGAGGCCAAGATTCTTGAAGAGCAGGAGGGACACGCTGGTCGGGATGATGAGGAACCAGAACCTCTTGAGATTAAAGAGGAGCAGGACCCCTGCTTCAGAACTGATACTGATCAGCTGGCAGTGAAGCAGGAGATCAATAGCTTCATGGTGACCTCTGATTATGAGGAAACAGAGCATAATGAGTCAGGACCAAACAGGAACCAACCCTGTTCTAACTCATCCACTGCAACTGAGAGCAAGTATCTGGAGGGAACCCTGTCTGAAGAGTCTGGATCAAGTGGAAATTGGAAAAATGAAAATAATATCGCAGACAACCTCACTGGATTAGACAGTCTCTGTAGTTCTGACCTGAGTAATAAATCCTTGAAATGCGGCGTCTGTGGAAAAACTTTTAGCAGCAATTTCAAAATGCGAAAACATTACAGGATCCACACAGGGGAGAAACCATATTCCTGTAAGATCTGCAGGAAAGCTTTCAGAGAAAGCAAATATCTGTCAGTCCACATGAGAACTCACACAGGGGAAAAGCCGTATTCATGTGAAACCTGTGGGAAAAGTTTCAGTCAAAACAGCCATTTAAGTTCTCACAAGAGAACCCACACAGGTGAGAAGCCACATCCCTGCAGCACCTGTGGAAGAAGATTCGCAGAAGCATCTGCTCTTAGAAACCACATGCTCACCCACACTGGAGAAAAGCCATTTTCCTGTCATATTTGTGGGAAAATATTGAGGTACAGCAGCAGCTTGTCTGCTCACATGAAAATCCACACCGGCGAGAAACCATTTGCATGTAAAACCTGTGGGAAATGCTTCAGCCACAACAGCAGCTTAATTTCCCACATGAGGATCCACACAGGAGAGAAGTCATATCAGTGCACAACGTGCGGACGCTGCTTTAGCCACAGCACCACCCTGCTGCGTCACACCAGGAGCCACACAGGAGAACGGCCGTATTCCTGCGCCACCTGTGGGAAATGTTTTAACAGCAGCAGCCACCTTACTGTCCACATGACAACCCACACCCGGGAGAAGTTATATTCCTGCACCATGTGCAGCAAACGCTTCAGTCATGGCAGTAACCTAGTGCGGCACATGAGAACCCACACTGGCGAGCGGCCATACTCCTGCCAGACATGTGCCAAAAGGTTCAAAAGCAGCACTCATCTCTCCCGACACATGAAGACACATAGGAAAGGTTGTAATCCTGAAGTGGAAATTATCCTGGAAGATGGTAGCACACCAGTCAGTTAGAGTTAATGCTGCTCAAAGTGACTGGGGAATTGGCTACATTGATGGATCCCTACAACCATTTAGAGAAATGTTTGCTTATTTTCACAGACTATAAATAACAAAGTTCTAAACCTGATCACTAAACTTGACATGATTGTCTTTCTGAATGCAAAACTTCTACCCCATAGATTTCCTCCTTTAGATCAAAGCAATGAGACATGCAGCATTTGTTCAGTCCTCATAGTTATTGAACGGGTTTTGAAAATGTACTTCTATTATAAACACTTCCTCCTAACTTATTTACTGCTGGTAATCCTCGGTTAATTCAGAAGTCACTGTATTTTGGGCTTGTAGTCCATTTGGGTTTTATACACTTTTTGGCCAAAAGCATTTCTTGAACTCAAGTGTTTGTTTACTTTATTGGCATTAAGTTCTATAATGAATTTTAAAGAATTACCCTATTTACACTACCCTTGAAAAACCGTGCCGAGACCGGTCCGAGCTCAGTAAGTTCCAGAGGTGGGCTCGGCTCGGTTTTTCCCTGGCTCTGTTCTCTGATAAAAGAGCGCATGAGCAGAACGCGTCATCTTCATCTGGCTGCACATCCCGATTCACACTTCATTCCAATAGTTGCCGGTAATACCCCTCCAGAAGTTGCGCGCCAACCAACACAAAACAGAAGAAGAACAACAACTATAAACACCTCTAAACATCCACGAATGGTTGCCGTCTTCGCCTGACCCTCCGCAAATAACGAAGTACAGCAATAATAATCAAGCATAACTTTCTGAATGTGACGGGCGCCGCCATTTTGATTAGCTTGATTCCCTCCTTCTTCTTCTTCGTCTTCTTCTTCTTGTGTTTTATGGCGGTTGGCAAACAACGTTAGGTGCATTACCGCCACCAACTGCTTGATTTCCTCCTTCAATACTGGCAGTAATACCGCAGATCGTCACTAGGAGTCGAGGAACCGAGATAGCGTGATGTGTAAACGGTCAGAACCGAGCTCGGCCTGGTTAACTGATCCGAGCTTGGACCGGTCTCGGCATGGATCGGTTTTTAAAGGGTAGTGCTAATGGGGTGTACATGTGCAAATAAGCTGGTGAAAGTGTAAAACAGATAAAAAATAAAGCAGTTGCAGTGGCCTTTGTGTATGTTGCATTTAGAGTTGCAGTAATCTGATGTTAATATCTGGTGCTATATTAATATTAAGTTTGGTTCTGCAGTATTGGGTCAGATCCCACAATGAAAGAAAAATATAGCTCTAGTATAGGTGAACATGGATTCATGGGTTAGATCTATTAAGAGGTGTCAAAAATATCACTGTTTGTTACTCAATTAGAAATCCCACTTTTTAAAAATACTTTAGTAAAAGTTGGAGGATCAAATTAAGCGCTTTCCCCGAGTAAAACTGTAAATACCATTTTTAAAACTACTTAGAGTATAAAAGAAAAAGTAATGCAGAAGCTTTACTGCTATACCCCATTAAAGGAACATTTTCTACACTTCTGGATGATAACTTCCTTAAGACTTTATTTTCCTAGTTTTATAACTAATGGTAACAGTGTCACATTTAACTTTGCATCATCTGGAAACAGTTTTTATTTTGGCATGTGGTGAACAACAAGTTGGGGCAGCACCGAGTCCAACCACAAAGAAATTAATTAGATAAAAATTATTATTTTGATGTTTTTTTTTCTTCTCTTTTTTTTTTTTTAAATAGCAACAGGTGTAATGAAAATGAGCTTAAATTAAACAAAACTAACAAGTATATTTTTAAAATGTAAGGAGTAGAAAGTAGAGATAATTGCAAAAACAATTTAAGGAGTAGAAGTAAAAACTTGTCTAAAAAAATTATTACTCCAGTAAAGTATAGATAGCCAAACTTTCTAGGTAAGTTAGGAAATAAAGAATTTGTACTGTGTTACTTGACACCTCCAGATCTATTCAGTCTATTTCTGTAAGAATTTAGGTTTTTTTAATCACTTGAACAGCAGGAACATTCCCCCTTTATAGGCATTTATTATTTGTTAAAAAAATGCCAATTTCATAACACTCTGTTTAAGGTGAGTTGCATTCACTGATTGCAGGAGGTTGATCTATGGGGTTTATCTATTAGCCCGTTTACATGACCCCTCTGAAACCGATCTACGCCGAGTTCAGACCAAGTTCGGATCAGTTAACTGTGCAGAGTTTAGTTCTAATGACCATTCACACATCACGCTAGCACAGTTATCTGCCTGCTATCGGTGGTCAACCATACTACTGCTCTCAAGGCGGGAACTACGCAAACAAAAATGGCGGCACTCATAACATTGAGGAAGGTATGCCTGGATAGCGTCCTCTGGCCAAATTTCAATGAGCCTCAGTCTCAGCATCATCCCAGGTTCTTTTGATGCCCTTTATTGTTAATAGGCTCAGAAAAGGCTGGTGTTGTGAACAGGTGAGGAGATCTGTAAATTGCAAAGGTTCAGGGTTAGGGTTAACCCAGAAAGCCCGCAAAATGAGACAGCTGACAATAAATAGGAGATGACACAGTCTGCTAATGCGCTCTTTTTGTTATCTGAGAACTGAGCCACAACTTAACCGTGTCAAGCCCTACTGTTGAACTAGTACTAGATTTAGCGAGGTTCTGTTGGGTCTGGTTCAGTTACCTTCCCTTTATACTCAACAGTTATCTTGGTTACCTTGATTGGACCGATTTTTGCACGATTTCAAAAGGCTACTGTAAATGGGCTTAATGCAAACCAATAGCAGTGAAGCGATCAGCTGTGAATTCCTCACGGAAAGCTTTCACCGCTCTTCTGTCATGGAATGGGGACGATTTTTCCTTACAAAAACCAAGTGCACGCATTTTATTTTTTAGAGCAGTATTTCCTCTACTTGCACTCAAAACTTTTAATTCCCACATTCAAGACTTCTGCTTTGTCTCAAATATGTTCTCTTCTCCATCACATCTGTTTCTGCTCTCAGATCTAATGCTTCTTGCAGAGATATTTTCTCCTCTTATTTACTTCTGCAGTCTTATGGGAAAAGATAAAAATACAAAACCTTCTCACAGCACAAGGCTACTGCTCTAACCACCAGGCCAACACTCCCCCTAGAGAAACCCTTTAAAGAGGAATGCTTTATCATTGGCAGAAGTAGGAAGGAGCTGGTTAAATATACTTCTACAATCTTTGAAGGGAATTAGATTTTTAGGAACATTTTCAGAAGAGTTATCACTTTATCAAATCAATTCAAACATAATTTATCAATACCAAAGGAACATCAAATTTTCCAGTAACTCAGCGTTTTCTTAACCAGGCGTTATAGATGTAGATAAAGAGGAGATATGTCTGGAAACCTCTCTTCAAATAGCCGCTCAGCATGGCATCATTCTCCCTCTGGTGAAAATGGGTCAGAGCCAAAGGCAGAACCCCAAATCAGGGAGGACCCCAGCTCCTGCGAGTCAGGGAGGACCCCGACTCCAGCGGGTCAGGGAGGACCCCGACTCCAGCGGGTCAGGGAGGACCCTGGCTCCCGCGGGTCAGGGAGGCCCCGGCTCTGGACCCTGGCTCCAGCAGGTCAGGGAGGACCCCGGCTCCGGACCCTGGCTCCAGCGGGTCAGGGAGGACCCCGACTCCAGCGGGTCAGGGAGGACCCCGACTCCAGCGGGTCAGGGAGGACCCTGGCTCCCGCGGGTCAGGGAGGACCCTGGCTCCCGCAGGTCAGGGAGGACCCCGGCTCCGGACCCTGACTCCAGCGGGTCAGGGAGGACCCCGACTCCAGCGGGTCAGGGAGGACCCTGGCTCCCGCGGGTCAGGGAGGCCCCGGCTCTGGACCCTGGCTCCAGCAGGTCAGGGAGGACCCCGGCTCCGGACCCTGGCTCCAGCGGGTCAGGGAGGACCCCGGCTCCGGACCCTGGCTCCAGCGAGTCAGGGAGGACCCCGGCTCCCGCGGGTCGGGGAGCTCCTGTTCATAAATCCATGGTTCTTCAGCAGCATCGGGCATCTGCTCTGCTGTAATTCTTGCTGGGGATCTCGCAGCTGCAAGTTGATTTGTGATCCCTCTGCCTAAAATTGGTAAAGATTTTTTTCATTCCTGAACAAAACTGTCAGTTGTTATAAAATGATATACATACAAATATTACCACAACTTAGCTGGTATCCTATGATCATTACAGGTCTGCACAGCTCTGCCAAGTCCCACCTGACTCATTGACAGGCCAGAATGGACACACTAAGGTCATCCTGCATATCAAATAACCCAGACGGTGGATTAGGGCCTGTTTAAGGGGGCAGTTTATCCCATTATTGATATCTGGCAAATTATTTCCACTCACAGACAAAATTTTAGGAAAGTTAGCAAGGCAGGTTTATTTGTATAGTATTTATAATGTCCACAATTGCAAGTGCTTTACACCAAGAAAAGCATTAGTGTGATACAGAAAAAAAAAACAATAAAAAGTAAAACAATAAAAAGTAAAATAAAAAAAAGAGCAGGTGGGTCTTCAACATGGATGCAAATAAACAGTTTTTCAGCTGATCTGAATCTTTCCAGACATATAGAGCATAGAAGCTGAATGCAGAATTTCCAGGTGTGGTTCTGACTTGAAACTGATAAAAGACCCGATCCAGATTGACCTGAGCAATCTGGTGGCTTCATACCTGTCCACTCTTCATAATATGTCACCCATGCTAATATGAACATTTACATCTTAATTTAAATAATGTTGAAATCACATAAAAAAATGTTTATGAATAGGATTAATTTAACTAACCTGGTGATGTAGTTCATTACATGGCTGGTGCACCTCTGACAATCTTTTCCACTCCAGTCTCACCTGCTCTAACTCCCACTGATTAAACGAATCCTGTCATGACTTTTCTTCCATAGCTTAGACCCCATCTGTCGAGATAAAAAAAAGAATTCACTCAACAAGTCATATGACTTAAAACTAATAAAACATTTTACAACAGAAACACATAATTTATGTGAAAATAGAAATATATGTGTACATTTCACAGATCATAATCTATAACCATGACAACAATTAGGCAGAGTTTTGTGTTACCACATTAAAAGAAGAGGAAGAAAAGGGAAGGATGGACCTGCCTTCAGATGAAAGGTTAATCAAAGATGCAGAATCATTTGAATATTAAATATTCAAATAAAAAAAATGCAACAAAATAATTCACACAGTGCCTATTTATTATGCATAATCTAGTTTCTAAGAAGCCTGAATGGTACAAACTAAAGCAAGAATCAAACATTTAAAAATAAACAATAATAAATATTTTCTCTATGAGGAAATCAATCTACAGTATTTTTTCCCTGAATGAGGACATAGAGAACCATTTCCTGTAATAATTCATTCACGTCAAAGATATTCAGCTTTAGAGACTAAACCAGGAGGAGCATTAACATTACAGTCACCATTTAAGATGTTCAGCAGTTAAAGTGGAACAATGAGCAAAAATGAGCATTTCGTGACCCGAGTATAAATGATTCAATAATCCAAAGCTTTGAGCCAGACTGTGAGTGAATACAACACTATGGTGGGTTAATCTGCTTATGGACTTCTGAAAGTAAACTAATTTTAACTGTGATTATGTATTAAATAGTTAAAATATAAACACTTAAAGTTACCTTGTTTATTCTTTTTCTCCTGAGTTGTTGATGAGCGCAGAATCTTCTCACTGACATTTCTGAGCATTCCTGAACGCCTCACTGCTACAGCGCTGCATAACTTTCCTTAAACAGCTGTAGTTCAGTCATATAACAGTGATCATCCGTTAGAACCATTCAATTATAGCGGTCTGTTGTTTTACCGAACTGCCTGCTGTGTTTTTTTGTTGTTTTTTTTATTCAAAACTTTATTGAAAAGTTGCAAATTACAAAACATTGACAAAAAATATCACAAGATATAGAACAGTATCTCCAAGATAAGTGTTCAATAATGGAGTACAATTAGAATTAAGATATAACATACTTTAACTTAAATAAATAATGGAAGAGAATAATGGAAAACGCATTAGTAGGGTAAATGTTATGTATTATTTTTGATTGCATTTCTGTTATTTTGTTAGAAATAGCATATTCGTATGGAAGGAGCCATGTTATTTTCTAGTTAATATCAGGGAAAGAGGAGGACCATTCAAATTTCCCTCTCGGAGTAATTTCCCTTTTCCTGAAAAAAAAAATAGTTCATAATATGTTTATTGTTACATTGATGACTTATAAAGTTTACACCTTTAATAAAGAGGGTGAGGTCAACTTTCTCTGCCTCTTGCCTTTCTAAATGACCTTTAAGTAGTTGGAGAAAACCACCGGGAAAAAACATTTATCACCATTTGGAATTCCTTATAGGTAATGGGAAAGACTTTGGATTTAAGAAATTCTTTATAACTAAAAATTCACCTTTGTTATTTTGTGAATCTTTAAGATAGATTATTTCTTAATCAATTATTTTCCAAAAATATATAAAGATATATTTTTCCTAGTTATGAAGTGGTTGTTCCAGATACTAGTTCTGTGTGTGGAGAAATGGACGAAGCACAATTTTGCTGCTGATAAAGCTTGTTGGAGAAATTTAGACAATTTTAGTGGAAATTTTGAAACTTCATAATCAATTCAATTCAGTTTATTTATATAGCGCCAAATTCACAACACATGTCATCTCAAGGCACTTTACAGTTCAACCAGATCATACAGTCAAATTGATACAAAGTTTTCTATCTAAGGAAAACCAGTTGATTGCATTGACTCATTGACTCAAATACAATCCCCCACACTAAGCATGCTTGTAGCGACAGTGGAGAGGAAAAACTCCCTTTTAACAGGAAGAAACCTCCAGCAGAACCAGGCTCAGTGTGAGCGGCCATCTGCCGAGGCCGACTGGGGTTCAAGGAGACAGAAGCAGAGATACAAAAAGCAGCTGTAAAAGGCGGCCCCGTCCAGGAAACACACAGCCAGGCAGACGAGCTCCAAGGCAGCTCCCATGCCAGAGGACGAAGAGAGCACATCCACTCAGTCACTGGAAAACAGGCCGATCTCCAAAATCTATAAACAAGGGTGTTGATAGAAGCAGCACAGCTGATGTTTCTTTCCAGGATGACGTCACAGCCAAACAGGAACAGACGAGGCAAAGCTACTCTGAGGAAAAGCAGAGAGAGCAGAAGGTTAGAGATTGAACTAACAGATTCTGCAGAATAGGAGAACAGAGAGAGAATGAAGCAGAATGATGAAATGGGGGTCCCTATGTCCTCCAAAAGTCTAAGCCTATAGCAGCATAACTATAGAGATAGCTCAGGATAACCTGAGCCACCCTAACTATAAGCTTTATCAAAAAGGAAAGTTTTAAGCCTAGCCTTAAAAGTAGACAGGGTGTCTGCCTCACGGACTAAAACTGGTAGTTGATTCCACAGGAGAGGAGCCTGATAACTAAAAGATCTGCCTCCCATTCTACTTTTAGAAATTCTAGGAACCACTAGTAAACCTGCAGATTGAGAGCGAAGTTCTCTGTTAGGAACATAAGGAACAATCATATCTCTGATATAAGATGGAGCTTGGCCATTTAAGGCTTTATATGTGAGAAGAAGGATTTTAAATTCTATTCTTGATTTAACAGGAAGCCAATGAAGAGAAGCCAGGATAGGCGAGATATGATCTCTCTTTTTAATTTTCATTAGAACTCTGGCTGCAGCATTTTGGATCAGCTGAAGGCTTTTAACTACAGTTTGTGGACTTCCTGATAGTAAAGAATTACAATAGTCCAGCCTTGAAGTAACAAATGCATGGACTAGTTTCTCAGCATCACCCCTGGACAGGATATTTCTAATTTTTGCAATGTTCCTCAGATGAAAGAAGGAAATTCTAGAAACCTCTTTGATATGGGATTTAAATGACAGGTCCTGATCAAAAATAACACCAAGATTTTTTACTTTATTATCTGAAATCAGTTTAATCCCATCCAAATGAAGTGACTGGCTAATCAGTTTCTTTTTCAGAGACTCTGGTCCAAAGACTATAACTTCTGTTTTGTCTGCATTCAGAAGCAGAAAGTTAAGAGTCATCCAGGTTTTTATGTCTTCAAGACATGCCTGTAATCTATGTAATGGGTTAGCTTCATCTGGATTTATAGACAGATATAGCTGGGTATCATCAGCATAACAGTGGAAATTAATCCCATGCTGTCTAATAACTCTACCAATTGGGAGCATGTATAAAGTAAAGAGAATTGGTCCTAGCACTGATCCCTGTGGTACTCCACAGGTAACCTTTGAGCGTGTTGAAGATCTATCATTAACATGAACAAACTGAATTCGATCAGATAGATAAGATTTAAACCAGTCTAGTGCTGTTCCTTTAATTCCAACAAAATATTCAAGTCTTTCTAAAAGAATATTATGGTCAACTGTATCAAATGCAGCACTAAGATCCAACAGGACGAGCACAGATACAAGTCCATTATCTGAGGCCATGAGAATATCATTAGTGACTTTCACCAGAGCTGTTTCAGTGCTATGATGAGCTCTAAAGCCAGACTGAAACTCTTCAAAAAGTTCATTATGGTGGAAGTGATCGCAAACTTGTTTGGCAACTACTTTCTCAAGAATTTTGGATAAGAAAGGAAGATTGGATATAGGTCTATAATTGACCAAGTCATCTGGGTCAAGAGACGGTTTCTTAAGCAGAGGTTTAATTACAGCAACCTTAAAAGCTTTAGGTACATATCCCTGTAACAGAGATAGATTAATCACATCTAAAATGGAGGAGGAGATCAAAGGGAATACCTCCTTAAATAACCTGGTTGGAACTGGATCTAACATACAAGTTGAAGGCTTAGATGAAGACAATAATTTTGCTAATTCAGAGAGTTCAACTGGATCAAAGCAGTCTAAACCCGGTTCAGATTCCACAACCATTTTTCCAGACTAGGAAGGACTCTCGCAGGCCTGTGGAGCGATATTTTCTCTCCAGTTTCCTAGCATTTTGCTTCAATCACAATTTAGAAGAAGAGATAATCCTCAGAATTTTCTAAAATATTCTGTGGTATAAAGAACCAAAGAGATTCTGGCTTTTATAAACATTCTTTCATCCATTTTATCTTAAAGGTATGGTTCATATCCATATAGTCTAACAGTTCAATGCAACCATTACCTCTCAGGGCTGCTAAGATCTCTTTTTTTTAAATAGTGGCCTTTGTTCTTCCAAACAGAATTAATTAGGGTGTTTATTTCTTTACAAAAGGAGTGTTGAACAAAGAGAGAAAGTAGGATATACAAACCTAGAGAGACCATCTGCTTTACTCAGAAGAACTCTTCCAAACAGGGACTATTTGAAGCCACATATTAAAAACACTTTTAGTTTTCTGTATCTTTGGTCTAAAATTTTTTGTTTGACATTTAGTAAGATCTTTAGAGATATGAATTCCTAAATACTTAATAGTTTTTTAACAGGTATTTTACATACATGTATCTCATTTTTGTTATAGAGACATAGTATTTCACATTTTGTTAAATTAAGTTTTAAACCTGATGCAACAGAAAACATAAGTGCATTCTGAATGCACGTGTGTGTAAGCAGCACCTTTTCAAGAAAAACTGACTGCAGACTGAACAAGTGGGCTTACCGTCTTTCCAACTATTCACACTTTATTTCTCAAATTGTGACAAAAAGTAATTTTCTTGTTATTAGATTCCATGTTCATGTTTCCTTTAATCTCCTATTTGGAAACATAAGTGCTGTATCTATTTGTAATTTATTTTCCAAGAATAATACTGTATCATCAGCATGTTGAGTCATCCTGATCTCTCTCTTAAAGATCTTTAAACCTCTAATAATAGTTCTCTGTCTAACTTGTATTGAGAGGAATTCAACAACTATAAGAAAAAGAAATGGAGAGCCTTGCTGAACTGACCTACAAACTGAAAATCTTTTTGTAGTATTTGAGAATAACATTACAGTTATTCCCAGTCTTGAAGTCTTTTTCGAGTCGGGTTAGGTCTGCGGCTACACGAAGGTTATTTTCTTTAGGATGTCAGCATTGCGTAACTCTCTCCAGATTGTGCTCCTGAAGGATGTTGAATCGGATGACGACTGGAAGCGGTTTGCCATCATCCCTCAAGCGTCCCACTCTGTGCACCGTGTCAACGAGGAAACCCAGCTTGTTTTTTTCATCTGGTGCAATCTGGCTCAATATCTGGAAGACGTCCTGCCTCACGTTTTCATTTCCTTTTTCAGGGACGTTGATTAGACGCACATTCCATGATTTCTGAAAATGCTTTTTCATTTGAAATATGGTAACGATTTGCTTTCATAATAAACTGTTTCATCAAAACATGCTAACGCTCATGCTTGTGTATGTATATATATATATGTGTGTTTTAACAATGTATTTGAATGTAATGTAATGTATGTATTATGCCTCCAGTAAAGCACATTCACATGAAAATTACTCTGAATTAAAAACACTGATCATTTATTGAACAGGATGGAATAATTTCAGATTTAAAGAACTTTCAGAAGTTCTGAATTCTGAATATGACCGCGCTTTTCCTTTAACATTTTTCCTGAATTATTTTTGTACTTTCAGTAGTTTTAAAAATAGTCATTTTACAGCTTTACTGTAGTAAAAAGCTGAACTTGATACCCTAACAAAGGTGTTTTTTTAACAGTAGGATTTCTGCTTCTTTTTGAGTGATAAACATTGGCTGCATTCATATCTATGAGATGCATCCTCCGAAGACGAGATTCGAAGGTAGATTACATCATAGCATGGCGCCGAGGTCTGGTGTAATTCCAAAACTCCTCGTTATGCAGCCTAAACATTCCTCCTTTTTGCCCGTTTTGAAGGACGGGTCCAGTGTGTCCTATCTATACTCGTCACCCAGGATTCATTGCGAGACGGAGCAAGCCGGCTGCTTCTTGATCAGAAGAAAAAGTTACATGTCACCAAACAGTGGGGAAATGAATGAAAATAGTTGTTTTAATGGTTATTGAGTCAGATATGTGGCGGTAATGTTTGATTTATCTAAAGGTTTTATCTGTTAGTGTGTAAATGGGTTTGGCTGGAATTTAAGCACAGATTCTAATTTATTATAATGTGGGAACTACAAATCAGAGGATTTTTATTTTTTAATTAGTAATTGCAAGTATCTTTTGTCGTTGAATATAAGAGATTTTGCAGATATATATTTCTACATACATTGTTAAGATTGACTTATATATTTCTACCCCTTTTATAGAATAGAATAGAATAGAAAATCCCTTTATTGAAAATGGTCACACAAATGTGGACCTTAGAAAAATGTCTAAGAAAAACATATTAGGTAAGAGTTAAAATATAAACAATAAAATACTGTAAAGTGTTTTAACAATATAAAACTGTTCACCTACAGAATAAATAACCAATATGCAGCTATGGACATTTTTAGAGTAATGGATATTTGAAAATAGCAGCAACATCAGAGATGTGCAGAATGACAGCAGCAGGTTATTTAACTGACTAAGGTTTCTATCATGACATTTGATTTGATTTGTTCCTGCTCCTGCTGGTTGGAATCTACAGTCATGCCCAAAAGTATTAAGACACAAATATTATATTTTGCTGCCCTCTGGTTTTCATGTGTGTATGTCAGATGTCGTCATCACATACAGAAATACAATTGCAATCATATTATGAGTAACAAACGGTTACTCATGAAGCGTAGGTGGCTGTGTTGATGCCTGACGAAGAAAATATTCCTAACGTGACAAAACTGTTCGCCAAAACATCATCTGACATATCTAATGAATGAATTTCTGTTTTGTTTTTTTCACATTAGAATGATGTGGCAAAGAACTTGTATCCACAGAAAAGCAGATAGTGCAAAGAATCCCACACAGAGAACAGCGTCGTTCACAAGTATAAAGAAAATACAAATAAAAGTCTGTCTCACATGGAGTCATTTCTTCTGCTGAACCATAAGCTAGAAATAAAAACCTGCAGCTTGGACAATAAAGTCCGCCCACTTTATAAATTCCTGAATGTAAATATAAATCCATTAAAGAGGCCTGTCATTCTGAATGCACGCGTGTGTAAGCAGCACCTTTTCAAGAAAAACTGACTGCAGACTGAACAATTGGGCTTACCGTCTTTCCAACTATTCACACTTTATTTCTCAAATTGTGACAAAAAGTAATTTTCTTGTTATTATATTCCATGTTCATGTTTCCTTTAATCTCCTATTTGGAAACAAATACAAGTCTCTACACTATGGTGTTTTTTTTTTGTTTTTTTTTTGTGGACCCCAAAACTCTGTCCCGTATGATGAACTGTATCAGGTCACTAACAGTAGTTTGAGGGGAAAAAAAACACCTTTTTTTATTGCTATTGTGTTCAGTCTGTTTCTAATATCCAGTTATGAGACCATAACGGGCTGCTGCTGAACTGGTTTTACTGCCCCATATGTACAAAGGGGGTCAAATGTATTTATTTAGGCGCTTTGCAGCTATTAGAATCTGAATCGCGTACCTGTTGATATGGAAACTTTACTTTTTATGTTTTCATAGTAGAATTTAAATTCCACAGTTAGCAGCTACCGCTATGGTGTGGGTATGAGTCGCCTTGACTGCTTGATGTTTTGTCTTGTAGAAAAATGCAGATATTCTTAAACGGTGAATTAGTTTAATTTGTGACAAACGGTGTCCACAGCAAAGCTGTTTGGAGAGATTAGGTGGCTGTGTGGTTGAATAATGTTAGGGTTCCAGTTTGTGTGGGTTGTTTTTCTGTGTTTTTCCTCTCCCCACCACCAGGCGGTGCCCTGTCCTCATTGGGCCTCCCTGAACACCTGCGGCTCGTTGGGTCATTACCAGAGGAGTACTTGAGCTGCGGACTGTCACCACTTCGACGCCAGAGTGTTTGCCAGTATCGTGTACTCTAGCCTTACTGAGATTAGCTGAGTCAAACGTTTGCCTTGTCTGTCTGAGTCTAAGCTTTGCCTTTGTCTTTGTTCTCCGGTAGGATGCCCTCCTGATCCACTGGATAAGCCTGGTCCTTCTACCCCCCTTGGAAGGAAGTAATTCGAGTCACACTGAGCAAGGGGAAACCTTCACTAGATCTGTTCAAGCCCACTTCAGGAAAACCCGGTGACAGTCTGCCTGTCCGCCCTCCAACGAGTTAATTCCTCTCTGGTTTAACCCCCCCACAAACTGGACCCAAGGGAAACCTAGAATCCCCCTAACTTGAGTCTTCTCCAGCAATTCACCAGTCTCAGTCATTTTCCCTACGGACCTTGAACTGATCTTTGTGATCTCCCCTTCAGAGTTTCCGGTTCCGGTTCACCAGACCGCTGAAGTCCCACTGAGTTCACCCTGCATATTATATCTCTTTCTGTTTTTGTCAACCTCTCAATAAACCAGTTTAACTTTTCCCCTGGCTCTCTGAGTGAATCTCTGCATGTGGGTTAGATCTTTAAAACCCATCATGACCCATCATTGTTCTTTTTTTTTTCTCCAGTTCTGTACAGGTTATGTAGAATTTGAAGCTGTGGTTCTATGTGTCATTACAGGTGTTCAAAAAATTAAAAGGTTTTGTAAATTTACAAAAAAATATATGGATGTTCAAAAACTTAAAGTGGTACTTTTAAATACTTAAATACTTTTGAAGTCATGTACTTTTGATCAATTCTTCTATACTTCAACTTGGGTAGATGATTGACCAAGTAACTTTTACTTGCAGTAGAGTAAGATTTGACTATGAGCATCAACACTTTTACTCCAATTCTATAGTTGAATGCTTCTTCCATTACTCTTAGTACCTAGAATAGACACCTGTACCAACCCGTATCCTCCCTCTGGATCAGAACCTTTCTTACCATTACTTTTTTTAAGGCAGTTTGTTATCATTCCAGCTCTGCAGCTGGAAACTATTTAGTCTGAATCTGTATTCCCAGTCCCTGTAAAGGCCAAAGCTGTTCCACACACCAGTAACAAACTTAATACAGTCTCAAAAGTTAACAGGTTCAACAATTATTCTCAACAATATAGTATTTGAAATTTTTATATAATACATAAGCTGTTACATTTTCCAACACTGTTGACATAACTGTGTGTTCTGTATTGGTCTTACCAGCTTTAATGCATACAGCATGCAATCATTGTAACAGCTAATCCTTATCTTGTGGGTGCTGATGATGAATAATTATTTTTCCTTCATAAACCCGTATTTTTGGTGGGTTTTTGCAAATGTGTTTGATAATCTATGGAAACAAGGCACCCAGATGTTAAGTGCATAACAAATATAAATATGGGAGTACCTCACGATCAGGAGAACTTGTTATAGGAACAAAACAAAACTATAGTCCCCAGCTGAGGTTTTAGGAACTAAACAGTATTGTCAAATATTTGATTTACAAAGAGAATAGAAATTGAGATTTTTTTCATAACTCTGATCATAACTTTAACTAATTCAATATAGGTAACGCAAAAGAAAAAAAAATTCCCCATGTCCCCTAGGGGGCTCCGTAGAGATGGACTTTAACACATCAAAAAAAAAAAAAGGAGAGATCTTGCCCTTGAGCTCCTAAACGCCTCTGGTAAAGGCAATTTAAACATTTAAATAAAAAATATGCAATTTTCAGCCCAACCAATGTTACACACCCTATTCAGAGACCTGAAGGACCAGATACCCTATAGAATCATTCTATCATTTTTATATATATATATATATATATATATATATATATATATATATATATATATATATATATATATATATATATATATATATATATATATATATATATATATATCAATTATGGGGGAAAAAAAACAGCAGCTAAGTAAATAAAAATGAGTGGCCATCGTCTGAAAACAACTACGTTGGCACGTCACGTGGTCTGGTCACGTGACGTCAACAGCTAACAGCAGCTAGCTTCTATTGTGTTGCTCGGCTATCCGTCCAGCCGTGATGGAGCAGAACCATTCCAGCATGTATTCAGTTCAGCATCTGAGAGAGTTCATCAGTGAGCGGCTAACTGCTGCTGCGGAGGAAATCTTTGGGGTGTTTGAGAGAACCATCGTCCAGTACGAGCAGCAGATGGACCATCAGCGGAGACTGCTGGAAGACAGCTGGAAACCGGACAGCAGCTTCCAGGAAACAGGTCAGTAGGTCTGCAGAGGGCCTGCGAGTTGTCCGGTCAGTGTGGAAATAACGCAGCTACATGGGCTTTCTATCCACGGTGGCTTAGACAGACCGAAACGGTCACATCCTCTGGGAAAGTTCCAGCGAATCCCATCCGATCCTGGTGTCCATTGGGCCTGCAGGACAGTCCAACGTAGTGACATGGAGTTCAGCTGTGTGTCCACTCCTTTACAGTCAGCCGACCCGCCCACTGGACATCCTCAGAATATGATTAATTGTCCTGTATTTATTATTATTATTATTATTTTTTTTTTCGCCAAATTGGGTATCAGATAAAAGACAAAATCGACTGCAGTCTAAAAAGAAATCAGTTGTAATGTTTGTTATTGTCAAATAACAGTTAAAAAAACATTTCAGTCCGTTCCTCAGTGATATGCTGTCATGTCCAGAGGCCCTATGGCCCTAACCATCGTGAAATCCCAGCATGGTGAGCATGTCACCGCTGTGGACCACAGATTGTAATCTGGATTACAATGAGTCTGCTAAATTCTTAATCTCACTGACTTCACTTATGAAACAGTTGTAGCATTGGTGGTTACAGTATAATATTAATGCAGCAGGGCCGAGCTCAATTTGTGGCAGCATTGCGGCAGTTCCGATGACTCGTCGGCTCATTGTGACATGAAACGGCTTTAGAACTGGCTGGTACGGCGTATTACTGGCTTAGTACCTCTAAGTAGATTTTTTTGTTGTGATGTTATTGCTTAATAACCTGCATTAAAACTTTTATAATGTCACATTTACTTGATGGATCAAAGTAGTTTATCTGCCAATAAGTGGCCTCTGCTGGCAGTGGCCACCAGCGGCCACTACACAGGCAATCCGGTGGCAGGCTCTTCCGGCAGCGGCCACTCTGCTGGCAGGCTCTTCCGGCAGCGGCCAATCCGGTGTCTGGCTCCGCTGGCAGCGGCCACCACTGGTCACTACGCAGCCACTCGCTGGCAGGCTCTGCCGGCACCGGCCACCACTGGTCGCAACGCAGCAACCCGCTGGCAGGCTCTGCCAGCACCAGCCACCACCGGGCACTACACAGCCACTCTCAGTCAGGCTCTGCCGGCAGCGGCCACCTTCGGCCACTCCGGTGGCAGGCTCTTCCGGCAGCGGCCACTCCGGTGGCAGGCTCTTCCGGCAGCGGCCACTCCGGTGGCAGGCTCTTCCGGCAGCGGCCAATCCGGTGGCAGGTTCTTCCGGCAGCGGCCAATCCGGTGGAAGGCTCTTCCGGCAGCGGCCAATCCGGTGGCAGGCTCTTCTGGCAGCGGCCAATCCGGTGGCAGGCTCCGCCGGCAGTGGCCACCACTGGCCACCACTGGCCACTATGCAGCCACTCACTGGCAGCCTCTGCCAGCACCGGCCACCATCTGCTACTCCAGTGGCAGGCTCTGTCGGCAGCGGCCACCATCGGCCATGACACAGCCACTCGGTGACAGTCCGGCTTTCCTGAGTGCCTGTGTCGTGGCCGCTGGTGGCCGCTGCCAGCAGAGGCCACTTATTGGCAGATAAACTACTTCGTTCCATCAAGTAAATGTGACAATATAAAAGTTTTAATGCAGGTTATTAAGCAATAACATCACAATATATATATATATATATATATATATATATATATATATATATATATATATATATATATAAAACATTTTAATGTAGGTTATTAAGAAATAACATCACAATATAAAAAAAACAAAAAAACTATCTACTTAGAGGCACTATAAATTAGTAATTTGCCAAAAAATGGCAAAAAAAAAAGAAAAAAAAAAGTTAAAAAACTAAATGAAAAAATAAGTTGCTGGCTGCGGCCAGTAATACGCAGTGCCAGTATTAAAGCCGTGTCAGGCCGAAGAGCAACCGGAACTTTCACCGGAACTGTCGCAGCACTGCCACTGCCAAGAATTGAGCTTGCTGTCTCTCTATTAATCAGATAAACAAAATGGCAGGATGAAATGGCTCCACCTTGGTTCAATTCATGTCTTCAAGACCCAGACCTCTTGGAGGAACTTACCATCCCTCCGAAGGGAAGGAACTAACTTCCTGTTCCTCCTAGAGGGAGGAACATAGGCTCTGTTGGAATTCATGGGCTGCATCCTCCAAGGACGCGGTCTACCTGGACTGGATCCTTCCAAGTCCTTGAAAATAAGGAGACCGGAAAAGTTTTGGCTGTGAATTTAAACAGGTCTACCCTTGGGCGGGTTTTACCGCTGTAGGCTATGTTGCTTAGCAACCGTGACGGTTGAAACACAAAGCAGGAAAAGAAGGAATACTGAAGTTTTCAAGACTGTTTATTTATTTATTTTTTATTGTAACAGGGTTCCCGCGGGTCCTTAAAAAGTCTTAAAAGTCATTGAATTCTTCAAAATAAAACTAAGGCCTTAATTGGTATTAAAATGTCTTAAAGGAATAGTACACCCAAAACATGATTAGCCTTCATTTTCTACTCACCCCCATGCTGAACAACACTCTGGAGTACTTTTTTGATATCTCAAATGCATCTGGAGATCTGGGAGGCTTCTTGCTGTCTGCTGACGTTCAAATAATGGAGGTCTATGGTGACCGAGACAGAAAGGTCCATAAAAGTCCACAAAAAACTTGTCAATATTCCTCCATACTGCTCGTCCAATGTATTCCAAGTGTCCTGAGTGGGTAGCATCCAGAATTTACTCGAAACGAAGTCATTTAGAATGTTTTTAGAGCATAAACAGTAGTGTATAGGATTTCCTGAAAGCGCGCACATGCGCGCTCACGACGCTACGGAAGCCGGCAGACCAAGCCAGATGAAAGTGCGCATTCAGCGTCTGCTCTGCCAATAATGCAAGCGTAGAAGAAGAAATGTGCTGTTTACCTGTGCAAAGAAAGAAACAACGAAAGAAAAATGTCTGAGGACTTCAGTGTTGAGGAAGAGCAGGAGTTCTTTGCCAAGCTGAATGCGCTGGTTTGGTCTGCCGGCTTCCGTAGCGTCGTGAGCGCGCATGTGCGCGCTTTCAGGAAATCCTATACACTACTGTTTATGCTCTAAAAACATTCTAAATCAATCTTTGAACGATGGGAATTAAGGCAGTGGAGTCACATGCGAAGCACAAAACACAAAGCGTCAAAATGGAGTTACCGAGAAACGGGTCTTCCATCAGTTTAGTTCCACCCATGTCTCTGCCACGCCTCCACTTATCACCAAATCAAACATACTAAGAAAACCATACAAAGGAAAATAGCTGCAAAAAAGACTTAGCACTGGTTATGTTGTGGCTTTAAAACTGATTTGTTTTGTTCCCTGCTAAAACAAAGTTTGTGAATTCAGTTAAATAATTGTTAAAATATATCTGTCATTTGTGTGTTTTTAGCTTTCTTCCTGTATGGGAAGCTTTTCAACATTTGAAACAGTGCAGTGGTTTATGTTAAGTTGTCGGAAGCGGGTTTTTCTTGTAAATTTGGTCTTAAATTTTTATTTCAAGTGGCATTAAAAAGTGTTGAATTTAACTTGCCTTATGCTGTAGGAACCCTGTGTAAAGTGAACAAAGACTAGATTTAGTCTTGGGCCGTTTCTCAATTCACTAGAATGCCAGTACAGACTCGTGTTTTTGCCAAGTCTGCAAAACAGCATAAATATGGGTCGATTGGAACAGAAGCATACTCGAGACGTCACCACCTGCCCAGCTTGTGTAGAGCTGCTTTTCACTTCCTGTTATTAATAGTCTTCAGATAATAATAGATACTGACTTTTTCATTTATTGGGGAAATAAAAAAGAACACAGTCAGTTAAACACAAATCAAATGAACATTTTGCCAAATACAACAAAGAAATCTCCATCAGAGCCAGCGGTGCTTCACACACGTCTATGCAGAGAGGGCCGCTGCAGACGGGCTGCGGGTAGCCCTGGCTACCGTTAGCCTCAGAGCTCCGCTGGTTGCCGCGGTCCTCTCAACTTCAGATTTTTTTTTATTACGCATTACATCGCTAAATGGGCCATATAGTGATGCTTTAAAGTATATTATTCTGCGTCAAATGATCTTAAAACTTACTTTTACTCAATAACAGCAACAGAAAAGAGAACTTTTAACTTAATACTCTGAGCTCTGTGAGCGCTAACCTGGAAGCTGCTGCTGCCGCAGTGCATGCTGGGACAGCAGGCAATCTCAAAAACAGACAGGTCAAACCCGGTAAATAGGGAGGGGCGAGAACAACATCCAGGGACTTGGTCTGTTTTCAGTCATCTTGTTCTTGTGAATTGCAACAGTATTAGGGCTGAGACGGAAGACATTTCACGAGAACACGAGAACGCACAAGTACACATAGTGAGAAATGGCAGCAGTCTTCAGTTTAAAACTTTCATTAGTCTTAGTCGCATTTTAGTCATTACGATATCTGATAGTTTTAGTCGGTTTTAGTCGACTAAAACTTAAAAAGGTTTTAGTCTAGTTCAGTCAGTTTTATGTTGCAAAAAAAGTGAACCTTTACTATATTAAATAACAACCAGATTCTTTCCCAGACTGACAGCTCTATCCTAGATGCTACCATAGCTGGGTATAGAGTGCTGTCGTGTAGTTCATCATTGCTGTTGAGCAGAAAACTTTGATTTATAGAATTCAAATAATTTTTTTTTAATTAATGCCCTACTTTATAAAAAAAAAGTGTTTTACAAAAGCAGTGAAAATAGACCTAGTGCAACACATCATATTGGTTAATATAGCAGACAGACAAGCTAACAAAATGTGCAATAAAGGAATAGTTTTAGTATAAGGTTTCCATCTCAAAGCAAACACTTCCTGATCTACTATGAATTATGCATTAAACACATATCAATAAAATATCCATTGCTTCAAAAAAGCAAAGAACAAAAACATTTTTCTTTCTACGTCTGCAATTTTGGCTTTATTTCCTCAATTTGCCCCTCGGTTCCTGCTGCTCAGGGGTCAAAGTAGATTTAAATACACAGGGTTTTGATATAATAATAATAATATTACTTGTAATGCCGCAACAATCCAGACCTAAATTGAAAGAATATGCTAACTGAAATGTTGACATATTGAAAGGAAACAGAGAAAATGTTTAATGACAATACAAGGAAACATTTACATAACATTTTAATAGAAACCAGAACTATGAGAGAGAAATATTCAAAGATCTATGTACCCTTTCATCTGGGTCTTTATCCAAAAAAAACCCACAATGGAATAAAATCTTTTCTTTGGATATAGTAATTCAGGGATTCCTTTTGGATTAAAAATGAAAGAAGGTTAAGGAAGAACTAAAATATTGATAGAATTTTTATGCTTGGCAGAGGATGATCAGCCTCATATGTTTTATTAAGTAGCGAAAGCAGGAAGAGCCATACTGTAGAGAACCATCAGTGTGGCGCGTGAAGCGCAGACTCTGACCTAAACCGCACAAAGACGCATTTCTGCACAAACACCGCTGGAGAACATCATTTGTGAGTTGAGCCTGCAGTACCGGACCAATGCTGCTGGTGCTATGATCCCTCTGTGGTCATACAGAATGTGCACCGCTGCACGCCAGGGTGACCAAACAGGAAACTAACCTCTGACCCTATCATTTTTATTTAGTCCCATCTCATTGACAAAAACTCAAAACTATGACACTGGAGCCGAGGCTATTTAAATGCAGGTCGCTTGCAGGTGAAAACAGTTTTTTCTGCCGGAGGAAAGGCATGTGATGAGAGGAAGACGGAGCGGTGAAGCACGGCGTATCTCTCTGATCTCTGTCTTAGAAAAACCTCTCTGCCTTTGGCAGTGGTTTTTCATTTTTTTGTTTTTTATAATCAATCTATTCCAGTCAAATGTGGGAAATAGTTTTAATGTGTGTATAGCACAAAGACAGAAGTGAAATAAATCTGCACAGTTCTGCTCACCCTGCCTAGGCAGAGCCTCTCTATATGCAGTCAGTGAGACATGGAAAAAAAATAGATTGGAGGTTAAAGAGTCGCACCAATCACTGTGTTCAGTGCTTTAGGGCTGAGCAGCAGAACATCTGCTTCCTTGAACTGGACTGTACTTAGTTTTCACAGTGACTGTAGGGCTTCAGCTGGAGTGGTTCAATCCAAAGTTCTGGTTTTAGGGGATAAGATCGATAAAGAAACATCAGGAAGGTTCTGCAGGACCAGTTCCTGGTCCAGGCCCAATCAAGTGGTTAAAACTCAAAGTGCATCAGAACATGAACTGTGATCTGACTTGACTCACTTTCTGTCTCTAGACCAGCCACAGCTTTTTCCCTTTGTGGAGGAGGGATGTCCTGCTGATCAGAACCTGAGGACCCAGAAGGAGAGCTCCAATCAGGACAAACCAGAACTGATGCATGTTAAAGAGGAAGATGAGGAGCACTGCGTCAGCCAGGAGGAAGAGCGGCCGGACCTGAAGAAGGAGACAGACACTCTGATGATAGCTCTGAACTATGAAGGAAGTTCCCTCATTGAACCAGAACCCAGCGATCGGTTTCTGTTTGACAATATTTCTGGAGCTGACGGTCGAGATCAGGGAGGAAGCAGGTCCAGGAACTTTGTGGGAAACCCGGAGCCGAACAGAACCAGGAGCAGTGAGAAGCCTAGGAAAGCTGACAGAGCGGATCGGACTCTGAAATGTGACGTTTGCGGAAAAGTGTTCAACAAAGCGTCTGAGCTGAGGGCTCATTACAGAATCCATACCGGTGAGAAGCCCTTCTCCTGTCACACATGCCAGAAAGCCTTCACCTTCAAGTCCAACCTACGGGTCCACATGAGGACCCACACCAACGAGGCACCCTTCTCCTGCCAGGCGTGCGGGAAGGTGTTCAAACACAGGAGCAGTTTGATGGTCCACTGCAGGAGCCACACAGGAGAGAGGCCCTATGTCTGCTCCACATGCGGGAAGCACTTTACGGACAAGTCCTCGCTCAAACAGCACTCTGTCACACACACCGGGGACAGGATGTTTTCCTGTGCTCTGTGTGGGCGGGGCTTCAACAGGAGAAGTTACCTGCTGCAGCACATGAAGGTTCACACGCCAGAGAGCTTCTCTAACAACAGTTAGAGTTGGAGGGGGAACTGTTTTTTTCAACAGCCAGATTTTCTTGTAAAAGAAATGTAACTGCAGCGCTTCTCAGGCTGCAGATTTAGAGAATGAATCACAGAAACCTTCAGAAAGGGTTAAACCAGCTGTACTGCTTTATCTGAAGACCCCTCTGACATTTTCTATGTACAGTTTTACTTTAAATGATCTTTTCTTGATAACAATGTTTGTCTAAAATAGATTCTTTTAGTTCATTTGAAAGGATCCAGTCCTAAAGTCACTCGAATCCGTTTAGATGGATCCGAATCAGTTTCCTGTTGGATCCTAGTTATCAATTTAGTCAGGTTCAGTTTATCATTTAGTATTTTTTTAATCCCGAACATTGTTATATATGAGCCCCTTATCTGAACTGGTAGGACTGAAACTCTAAATGAACCACAACACCAGTCTGTCAGACATGTCTGTTTTTTTCCACTATTCCTTCTTCAGAAATAGTGGAAAAGGGAAAAATTATTATTTAAGAATTCAAGATAACAACATAAAAACTGGAGCAATAAGCCTAAATATGAGCAAGGCTGTAGTTTAACTAATCTGAAACATATTTTGAGTTTAAAGGTGTGATGCTGCAACTTAAAGCAGAGAAAGCGGATATTTATGTTAAACTGGTATGAATCAGGAATGTGTCCAGTGCCCCCTAGTGGCAAATCCAAGAACAACTCGTGCATGGCAGCTTTATTTTAAAGAATCCAAGATGGCTGCTTGCACCGTTACGAAAACCTGTTATTTATCTTGTAGTATCCAATGGACTAATGCTGTAATTTTGATGGATGTTTTAAATAGTCAGTGTTTGAAAATGTAACAGTTTTAAGGGCAGTTTGTGAAGGACTGTACGTTAGAAAACATGTTGAATAAATGAAAGAAACTCTGAAAGCTTTGCCTTGGACGTTGCAGACATCACAAGTCTCTGGGAAGTTCCAGGTGTCTCCCTGATATAGAAAGGTCTACACGGATTCCAGCGAGTCGGATAAATTATCCCGAATTTTAGACTATGGGAGGTGGAGTTTTTTTAATGCGAGTGAGTTTCTCTGGGTTACTCTCTGGCAGTCACCTAGTTACCACTCAAAGCTGTGCATCCTGGGAAATGGCAGAGGTTCAATCCTCGAGGAAAAAATGAAAATATAGGACTAATTTAACAGCAGAATATACTAAAGTATATCCACGTCTAGTGAAGGGGAGGAACAGTGGCGGGTCTAGACCAAATGTACCAGGGGGCCAGGAGGGGGCCAGCGTGTTTTCATGGGGGCCCAAAAAAGCATGAAATAAAAAACTAGGAAAGAGATTCAAATATATTAGGAGAGCTGCATGAAGGGAAAGTTCTTTTCAATTAGGTTCAATAAAAATTGTATTTCCTTTGAGGTCAATATACATTTAGAATTTTTGACTTAATTTAAGTTAAAACTAACGTTTTCTATCACATTTAAATTAGAATTCAAGAAAAACTGTTAAATTCCTATCTCAATCCCACTGAAGCTATCACCTTATTGTTTTTGAATAATTAGTAAAACAGAATTTGTAATGAAAAGAATTAAATAGATCCAAAGGACCCATCAGTAATCATGTCTGTTCCAGCGCATCATCATTAGAATTTGTTTTAAGTATTACCGTATGTCTTCAGTACAGGGGCCAGGAGATGATCTACAGGGGAACTGGCCCCCATTATTCTAGAACCGGCCATGGTGAGGAATGATGACACCGTGGCGAGGTGCACTGTATGCTGAAGCATGAAAAACAGAAAGCACAACCGATGTTCAAGGCTACAAGATTGAAAGTATTAAAAATAAAAGACCAATACTGTTCTGATTAGTGTTTAAGAAATGACTGTTAGTTAATAAACGGTAGTTGAGAAGTTGCGGGTCCGTTGTCCCGGGAGTGTGTGTGTGGGTGTGTGTGTGTGTGTGTGTGTGGGGGGGGGGGGGGGTCGGGGTATGACACGCATCTCCCTGAAATGAGTTTTTGGAACTTGGGACGTCTGACGTTGAATATGATCTCCTGTTGTAACGGGTGCATTCATTCTGCCTAAAGCAGAGCAAAGATGAAACCATGTCTGCTGCAAAGATCTCCAGCTTGTGTTGCTGCTCTGCAGGGCAGGAGACGTGTGTCCCCCAGAAAAGACGCGCCCTGGCTGTACCTCTGGATGTGAGAACAGATGGACTGGATCACATTCCAAAGTGGGGAATCCGACAGAGATGCAAGCACTGCAGAGTCAGCCACTTCTCTCAGTGAACCTTTGCCTGAACAACAACAGGAACTGCTTCTGGGCCTTCCATGAGAAGGGCTCCAATGGCTGAAACGCCACCAGTGGGAAACACTAACTTGGCCTGATATGAGGATCATCACACGTTATGTACTAAATATGGAAGTTGAAATCCTAAGTGAAAAAATCTTTTGTACATTTTTAATTTATACTATCATTTAACTAAAGTAACGATGCTAAAAATTGTAGCTCAGCCCCCTTTTTTTCATTTTTTTCCCCCAGTTTTTGCAGCACTAGTGGCTCGTTCTTTGATAGCAGGTTGGAACGGGTTAAGAGAGAGGGGCAGCAAAGGATCACAGGTCGGACTCAAACTCGGGTCTAAGGCCTCTTTAGATGGATGGTGCGCACTAACCACTCGACTGAAGCATGCAGTTCAGCCATGGATTAAGCAATCAGGCTGCAGTGGGTTCCCCTGCAGGCCCAAACAAGCCTCACGGAGAGGCTCTGCTTCAGCTTACTCAGTCCTCCCTGACTTAGACTTTATTAGACTTAGACAAACTTTACTTTTTTTGCACACAGGGTGTGATTTTAAAGCTATTACAGAATGGAGTGCAACTTATGGCATGGATAACATAACATGAGGTTATTTTCAACATAATTCCAGACTTGACAGAAAACCTCCAAAGGGTTCACAGCAAGAATATAGTGACAATTCACACATTTTGTTTATCTTATAGTTTTGTGGACTACTGGCCACTCTAACGTAATGTCATTGACATGGATCAGGTCAGCAGATATTCACCTATGCTTAAGGGTCGATTATTGGCTTCTGTCAAATATTACTAATCTTACAGCAGAATGTGATATTCAATCCTCTCCTCTCACAGATCATTGGCTCATTGTCTTGTCTCTCTCAATAGAAAAGATAATAAAAATAAATTCAAACAGAAATGGGAAATTTAAAAATACTTTGATTCTGTAACCAGATTGAAACAATATGTTATGAAACTAAACACATAGATTTGTGGTGTATTAGTAAATGGGAGTGTTTTAAATTCAGGGTTAAGCAGCAGGCTATTGAAACTGGAAAGAAAATAGCAGACAACCGTAAATTGAAACAAAGGGAAAAAATACGTTTTTGAAAAGATAAGTTTATTATGTGGAAAACATAGCATAAGTGTAGAGTAAGCACAACAGTTTTAAATATCCTAGAGCCAATTAGATAATACATTATTGGAGAAGGCAAGAGGTGCCTTTTTATGATCAAAAGCCATTGGGGGGGGGGGGGGGTTACTCTGATGTTGATATTCTTTAAAAACAGAGACAGACCTAAAATTATTTAACGAAATTATACCAAAATGGAAATATCATTCAAGACAAAAATCACATATCAGAGGCTGTATGTCAATTATATAGCAATCTATATAAGGAAAAAATTGTAATGCCTTTGTGAAAAGTGTAAATAATAATGTAATGGAGAAAGATAACATAACCTGAACGAAATTGAAACTTGAAATTGACAAAATGTATAATTTAACGTGTATCTTGATTGAAATAAAAGTGGCCAATTATCCCCTACAATGAACACTGGTCTGATAACCTTGTTGCCCAAACCCAATAAAGACTTTACTATTACATGGAGACCTATAACTCCGTAATGATTATAAACTGCTAGCCTCGGTTTATGCTATCAGAGTAAAATAAATTTTGAACAAGTTAATAGATTAATTTCAATCCATCTTTATAAAAGGTGGACACTTCTATAACAATGTCAGACTAATTGTCTATATGTTAGATTACCAGAAACTTAACACAGAAAGCATAAATTGTTTTTGGATTTTTTTCAAGCCGTTCCATTCAGTCGAACATGATTTTTTACTGAAATCACTCAATTTTGGGGGATTTGGCAACAACTTCTGTAAGGTGATCAGAATGCTTTATAACCAAATGTACTCACTTCAATCAGGCATAACTCTAAGAATCAATGTGTCTTGTGAAATAAGACTAGGATGCCCAATTTCACCATAATTATTCATTCATTATATTATATGGCCTATTTTGTTGGAAATAATAAAGACCTCGAAGGGATATATTTTGAGACAACCAATTGAAAATAAGCCAATCTGATGACACAGTCATATTTCTTAAGGACAAATCAATTGTTCAGAAGGCTTGAAATATTATCTCTATTTTTCCCAGTGCATCAGGCCTTAATCTAAAAAAATGGGAAATACTACTTTGTATATTGCACTTAGACCAGCTTGCCGATGATTCCAGCTAAGAAAGATATTAAAAACCTGGGCATTAATCTATTTGAAAATTTAGAAATAAGAGAATCCAAAAATATCAAAGAGAGATTTAAAGACATAAAAAAAACCTGAATCAATTGCCTTAACTATTATGGGATTCAGAAAGGATTTATTAATTAATTTACCCAAGTTACTCTCTGTGTATTAGTCTACAAAACATAAGGAAAGCAAATACTATAATCTACCAATTCATCTGGCACAATAAAACATACAGCATAAAAAAGGACTATGATAAAGGAGGGCTAAAAACAATTGTTTTTGAATCTGTGGTTGGAGTTTTTAAGAGTTAATTGGGTAAAAACCCTTTTTAGCTGAGCCTGATTCTTTATGGTTTTATATCACAAAAAAATATTTTTGATAAAGCCAGAGGCTTGGAGTTTCTTTTGAAATGTGATTTTGAGATATCCAAATAGCCAGTAAAACTGTCTGAATATCATAAACAAGTTTTTTATTACTGGAAGATGGCATTTCTTCATAATTTTGCACCACATGGCTCCACCATATGGAACAACCAATTGATAAGTAGAAAAACTCAGAAGGTGGTTTAATAAGGAAATCTTTTTTATATCACAGATATATTAGATGATTAAGGTAATTTTCTTAATTTGATGGTTTTTATAACAAAAAATAATTATACAGTGTTCTATAACGGATTATAAGGTTTGTAAAACAATACCATTTAATTCAATACTAAATATGATACAAAATATTTTACAGTATTCGAAGAGTCAAATAAATTTGCCTTAAATGCAACTAATCCAAATTCATCTAAATTGTAAAAAGAAGTAACAATATATTGGCAAAATGTTGAAATTTATTTTATGATTTGACCAAAATGTAAAAATAGGGGAACTATGAAGACAAAATAACAAATAAATACATTAAAATTATGAAATGACCAATACAATAAAATAAAAACACAATTTAAAATTATAAATGGATATTATCCAGCTGCAGCAATGCTTGAAAAGAGATTTGGTTTTGAGTAGGAGCCATGTGTGTTCTGTTCCCAGGAAGATGAAAAAATTCAACATTTGTTCTTCTCTTGTCCAGTAATAATGTTCTGGTAAGAGGTCATAAATTGGCTGAATAATAATGGAGATAAGTACACAAGGTCAGAAGAAATTCCATTTGGTAACGAAAATCTCCGAACGATTTTTTCTTTTACCTTTACAAGATATAACAATTATGGGTAAATGTTTCACATTTATAAAAGTAAATGTAAAACCAAAAGTCTACCCCTAATGCTGTTAGAAATTATTTGAGGGAATACTTTGCTTCATTGAATCCCCTGAAAGAATTGAGCGATAAAGTTTACGCTGTATGTGAAGTGCAATAATCTACTGTATAGTCTTTCCTTAGCCCTA